TTCTATTTCACATGTAACCCGTAAGTTAGCATGAGCACCATTGAGCCGTTCTACCAAATGTGTGAGCTGCTGCTCCGACGAACAGAAAGCCAAGATATCATCGACATATCTTTTGTAGTATGGCACCTGTGCCATTTCTGTAGAAATGCTTCTTTCTACCATCAACATGAAGAAATCAGCGAGCACAGGACCTAATGGGCTACCCATTGCTACGCCGTCAATCTGACGGTATGGTGTATTCCGGAAGTGAAAATCCACATTCTCCGTGCACAATAGCAGAGATTCTCTTAGCAATTCAGTCGGAATTGGTAGCGAACAGCCACCGTTTTCAGCTAATTCGCACACGTAATCAACCGTCTGACGTAGCGTAGCAATGGGTAGCCCATTAGGTCCTGTGCTCGCTGATTTCTTCATGTTGATGGTAGAAAGAAGCATTTCTACAGAAATAGCACAGGTGCCATACTACAAAAGATATGTCGATGATATCTTGGCTTTCTGTTCGTCGGAGCAGCAGCTCACACATTTGGTAGAACGGCTCAATGGTGCTCATGCTAACTTACGGGTTACATGTGAAATAGAACAAAACAATTGTCTACCATACCTGGACATACTCATAACTCGCAGGGAGGATGGATTGATTAAGAGGTCAATTTACCGAAAATCGACTTGGTCCGGTCAGTACCTGCACTTCACCAGCTTCACACCAGTGCGGTACAAACGGACACTTGTGAAGACTCTAGTTAGTCGTGCCAGACGAATTTGTTCGGCCGACTGTCTGGACGATGAGCTGGTGTTCATTACAGCAACACTAATGGCGAATGGCTACCCTCGAAGATTTATCGAGAAACACAGCCAATCGCGAGGACCAAAGGACTTGGTGCACACGGCAGCCAAGAAGAAAGTGTATATCGAGTTACCTTTCAAAGGTGACTTAGCCACGCTGAAGACAACTAAGCGTATAATTTCTGCTACACAAGGAAGTTACTATGCTGCACAAGTTGTCGTTATCAACCGAACCCGAAATTTGCCCATACCTCCAACGAAAGAAGCTCAGCCTATTGGGGCCAACTCACACTGTGTATACCAATTTGTATGTGACTGCGGAAAAAGTTACATAGGCAGAACCAATAGAACGCTGACTTCCCGAATAAAGGAACATGTGCCAAGATGGGTTCAACGTGAAGTTGCTCAGATTGCCTACCCTCGTCAGATTCCATGTTCGCGCAGACCGCCGGCTTCCTCGATAGGCAAACACCTATTAGACTCGGGTCACCAATTAGAGCTGGGCTCAGCGTTTAAAGTTGTGTTACGTCACACTAATCCCCGTTTCCTTCGGTTTGCCGAGGCTGTCGCAATTAGCCGGATTAAGCCCGCCTTGTGTGTTCAGAAACAATTATTTGTTAGCCTAAAGCTGCCTTGGACGTAGGTGTGAACTTCCGTCATTCATTTTGCACCTTAAGCTTGTCTGGTTGCACCCACTGTTAGCTATATCTATGCTTACCGGTTATTGTTAATGGTACTGAGGAGACAATACGAAATGCATGCATCTACCAGCCTTCGTCTTCTTTCCGTGCTTTTCAAATTGTTGAAGGGAACTAACTGCTTTAAATTTCTGAAACGACGAATTCCCTCCGAAACAGTCAGGTTGCTGCACCGCATAGTCAGCCTGAGGTGCAAGATGGTGTGCTTACGTGTGGAAATATCGTTTCTATCGAAATGCATTTTCGTACGTCGCTATCCTCGTCCAGTGCTTTTACTGTTGCGTAGAAACAAACTCAAGCCCTCTGCGGCTAACCTTAAACGTGTGGCGTCCGCTCACCTAGAGACGGCTCAAACCAGACTTGTGGAACTACTAGAAACTCATGCACGCTTACTACCCGTGGTCGAGGATCTCTCTTTGTGTTGCCGGATTGTTTTCACTAACTTTTGTAAATCAACTCTTGATCGTACGAGACGAAATCGCTCCGCTCGTTTAGAAAATTCGCTGATGAACAACCAGGAGGAGGAACCAATTGCTCGTGATCCCAGTAAGTACGTGATGAATTTATCGAACGTACAACTTGATGCGTTGCAATTAGAAGCATTATCACTTGGGCTTGATTACAAAGTCCCCCCTAAGACCTTGAACGGCTTGTTTATAGAAGCCCAATTTGAGAACTTTTTTGACCAGTTTAAGGAGCTCCAACCAACCAGCCCTGATAAGCATATTTGGTTCAGAAACAAGTTAACTGATATCGCCCATGAGGTAAAAACCATGCCAATTAATGAAAAATGTGCCATCACAGCTCGACATTTTCAGGCTTTACGTGAACTACGAGCTAAGGACGTAGTCGTAATGAAACCAGATAAAGGTTCAGGAGTGGTAATCATGAATAAAACCGAATACAATGAGAAGATGTGCGTTATACTCAACGATGCGAGTAAATTCGAACGGCTCACGAAAGTGGGGGACATAACCAATGTCGAAATGCGCATAATTCGTCACCTGGAATTACTTCTCCTCCACCGCGTGATAGACTTGGATACATTTAATAGTTTGAAGCCGAGTGGTAGCACTATTCCCCAGTTGTATGGGTCCCCAAAGACACATAAGTGTGAAGTGCCACTCAGGCCAATCCTTTCAATGATGAACGCGCCCCAGCACAAACTCGCTCGTTGGTTAGTGAAGTTGCTAGCTCCGCTGAAACAACAGTTCAATCCGTACAGTCTTAAAGACTCGTTTCAACTCATTGATGATCTGGATGAACTCAACCTGTCAGACAAAGTTATATGTTCCTTGGATGTAGAATCCTTATTTACCAACGTGCCGCTACATCAGACGGTTGATTACGTATGCGAATTAGCTGAAAACGGTGGCTGTTCGCTACCAATTCCGACTGAATTGCTAAGAGAATCTCTACTATTGTGCACGGAGAATGTGGATTTTCACTTCCGGAATACACCATACCGTCAGATTGACGGCGTAGCAATGGGTAGCCCATTAGGTCCTGTGCTCGCTGATTTCTTCATGTTGATGGTAGAAAGAAGCATTTCTACAGAAATAGCCCAGGTGCCATACTACAAAAGATATGTCGATGATATCTTGGCTTTCTGTTCGTCGGAGCAGCAGCTCACACATTTGGTAGAACGGCTCAATGGTGCTCATGCTAACTTACGGGTTACATGTGAAATAGAACAAAACAATTGTCTACCATACCTGGACATACTCATAACTCGCAGGGAGGATGGATTGATTAAGAGGTCAATTTACCGAAAATCGACTTGGTCCGGTCAGTACCTGCACTTCACCAGCTTCACACCAGTGCGGTACAAACGGACACTTGTGAAGACTCTAGTTAGTCGTGCCAGACGAATTTGTTCGGCCGACTGTCTGGACGATGAGCTGGTGTTCATTACAGCAACACTAATGGCGAATGGCTACCCTCGAAGATTTATCGAGAAACACAGCCAACCGCGAGGACCAAAGGACTTGGTGCACACGGCAGCCAAGAAGAAAGTGTATATCGAGTTACCTTTCAAAGGTGACTTAGCCACGCTGAAGACAACCAAGCGTATAATTTCTGCTACACAAGGAAGTTACTATGCTGCACAAGTTGTCGTTATCAACCGAACCCGAAATTTGCCCATACCTCCAACGAAAGAAGCTCAGCCTATTGGGGCCAACTCACACTGTGTATACCAATTTGTATGTGACTGCGGAAAAAGTTACATAGGCAGAACCAATAGAACGCTGACTTCCCGAATAAAGGAACATGTGCCAAGATGGGTTCAACGTGAAGTTGCTCAGATTGCCTACCCTCGTCAGATTCCATGTTCGCGCAGACCGCCGGCTTCCTCGATAGGCAAACACCTATTAGACTCGGGTCACCAATTAGAGCTGGGCTCAGCGTTTAAAGTTGTGTTACGTCACACTAATCCCCGTTTCCTTCGGTTTGCCGAGGCTGTCGCAATTAGCCGGATTAAGCCCGCCTTGTGTGTTCAGAAACAATTATTTGTTAGCCTAAAGCTGCCTTGGACGTAGGTGTGAACTTCCGTCATTCATTTTGCACCTTAAGCTTGTCTGGTTGCACCCACTGTTAGCTATATCTATGCTTACCGGTTATTGTTAATGGTACTGAGGAGACAATACGAAATGCATGCATCTACCAGCCTTCGTCTTCTTTCCGTGCTTTTCAAATTGTTGAAGGGAACTAACTGCTTTAAATTTCTGAAACGACGAATTCCCTCCGAAACAGTCAGGTTGCTGCACCGCATAGTCAGCCTGAGGTGCAAGATGGTGTGCTTACGTGTGGAAATATCGTTTCTATCGAAATGCATTTTCGTACGTCGCTATCCTCGTCCAGTGCTTTTACTGTTGCGTAGAAACAAACTCAAGCCCTCTGCGGCTAACCTTAAACGTGTGGCGTCCGCTCACCTAGAGACGGCTCAAACCAGACTTGCGGAACTACTCGAAACTCATGCACGCTTACTACCCGTGGTCGAGGATCTCTCTTTGTGTTGCCGGATTGTTTTCACTAACTTTTGTAAATCAACACTTGATCGTACGAGACGAAATCGCTCCGCTCGTTTAGAAAATTCGCTGATGAACAACCAGGAGGAGGAACCAATTGCTCGTGATCCCAGTAAGTACGTGATGAATTTATCGAACGTACAACTTGATGCGTTGCAATTAGAAGCATTATCACTTGGGCTTGATTACAAAGTCCCCCCTAAGACCTTGAACGGCTTGTTTATAGAAGCCCAATTTGAGAACTTTTTTGACCAGTTTAAGGAGCTCCAACCAACCAGCCCTGATAAGCATATTTGGTTCAGAAACAAGTTAACTGATATCGCCCATGAGGTAAAAACCATGCCAATTAATGAAAAATGTGCCATCACAGCTCGACATTTTCAGGCTTTACGTGAACTACGAGCTAAGGACGTAGTCGTAATGAAACCAGATAAAGGTTCAGGAGTGGTAATCATGAATAAAACCGAATACAATGAGAAGATGTGCGTTATACTCAACGATGCGAGTAAATTCGAACGGCTCACGAAAGTGGGGGACATAACCAATGTCGAAATGCGCATAATTCGTCACCTGGAATTACTTCTCCTCCACCGCGTGATAGACTTGGATACATTTAATAGTTTGAAGCCGAGTGGTAGCACTATTCCCCAGTTGTATGGGTCCCCAAAGACACATAAGTGTGAAGTGCCACTCAGGCCAATCCTTTCAATGATGAACGCGCCCCAGCACAAACTCGCTCGTTGGTTAGTGAAGTTGCTAGCTCCGCTGAAACAACAGTTCAATCCGTACAGTCTTAAAGACTCGTTTCAACTCATTGATGATCTGGATGAACTCAACCTGTCAGACAAAGTTATATGTTCCTTGGATGTAGAATCCTTATTTACCAACGTGCCGCTACATCAGACGGTTGATTACGTATGCGAATTAGTTGAAAACGGTGGCTGTTCGCTACCAATTCCGACTGAATTGCTAAGAGAATCTCTACTATTGTGCACGGAGAATGTGGATTTTCACTTCCGGAATACACCATACCGTCAGATTGACGGCGTAGCAATGGGTAGCCCATTAGGTCCTGTGCTCGCTGATTTCTTCATGTTGATGGTAGAAAGAAGCATTTCTACAGAAATAGCCCAGGTGCCATACTACAAAAGATATGTCGATGATATCTTGGCTTTCTGTTCGTCGGAGCAGCAGCTCACACATTTGGTAGAACGGCTCAATGGTGCTCATGCTAACTTACGGGTTACATGTGAAATAGAACAAAACAATTGTCTACCATACCTGGACATACTCATAACTCGCAGGGAGGATGGATTGATTAAGAGGTCAATTTACCGAAAATCGACTTGGTCCGGTCAGTACCTGCACTTCACCAGCTTCACACCAGTGCGGTACAAACGGACACTTGTGAAGACTCTAGTTAGTCGTGCCAGACGAATTTGTTCGGCCGACTGTCTGGACGATGAGCTGGTGTTCATTACAGCAACACTAATGGCGAATGGCTACCCTCGAAGATTTATCGAGAAACACAGCCAACCGCGAGGACCAAAGGACTTGGTGCACACGGCAGCCAAGAAGAAAGTGTATATCGAGTTACCTTTCAAAGGTGACTTAGCCACGCTGAAGACAACCAAGCGTATAATTTCTGCTACACAAGGAAGTTACTATGCTGCACAAGTTGTCGTTATCAACCGAACCCGAAATTTGCCCATACCTCCAACGAAAGAAGCTCAGCCTATTGGGGCCAACTCACACTGTGTATACCAATTTGTATGTGACTGCGGAAAAAGTTACATAGGCAGAACCAATAGAACGCTGACTTCCCGAATAAAGGAACATGTGCCAAGATGGGTTCAACGTGAAGTTGCTCAGATTGCCTACCCTCGTCAGATTCCATGTTCGCGCAGACCGCCGGCTTCCTCGATAGGCAAACACCTATTAGACTCGGGTCACCAATTAGAGCTGGGCTCAGCGTTTAAAGTTGTGTTACGTCACACTAATCCCCGTTTCCTTCGGTTTGCCGAGGCTGTCGCAATTAGCCGGATTAAGCCCGCCTTGTGTGTTCAGAAACAATTATTTGTTAGCCTAAAGCTGCCTTGGACGTAGGTGTGAACTTCCGTCATTCATTTTGCACCTTAAGCTTGTCTGGTTGCACCCACTGTTAGCTATATCTATGCTTACCGGTTATTGTTAATGGTACTGAGGAGACAATACGAAATGCATGCATCTACCAGCCTTCGTCTTCTTTCCGTGCTTTTCAAA